CATAGCAGCTCTTTCCTACATACATCGAGCAATTAATTATAGATAATCAAATGCCATCTGCCTGAAGCTCTGTTTTAATATTGTCTATCAGGTAAGCTTGCCTAAGGTTCACCTTGTTGCACCAAAAAGCTGAGGGAGGAATGCAATCCATTCCATCTGCCCTTTCCCTGAGGCTTTGCATTGTAGAGAATGGGTTTGTGCTAAGATAGGTGGGTAAGAAGGGAAGTAGTTTCCAGTGCCTGAGAAAGAAGGGTGAAATCAAGTAAACAGACTAAAGTGCTATAGACCTCATATGCCCCAAAAAAGTTCATTCATTCCCAAAATTTGTCAGCTTTATCTGTAGTGAATATACACATTCAACGATATTTCAACACCAATTTCTTTTCAAGGTAGATAGAAGCAAAAAAAAGATTAAACTCAACGGTCTCTTTAACCTTCTTCAGTCTTTCCATTGCAATTCTGCTTCATAAATACAGACTTTTATTTTCTTTCTTAGGGACAGAAAGAGCAGAGGCTACCCCTCTTCTCTAAACCTGGCATAGTTTTGGACAATCAGCCATGTCAGATCAAATCATAAAAGTCTCTCCACTAGGTGATGGATTTTTTTTTCTACACGTACCTTTTGTTGTCATGTGTGGAAACAGAGGATTGGCAGCACACTTTTCTTCTCTTAAACATACACTCTCAGACAAGGACTTGATTAGCACCTTTTTGCCAATAAAATAGGCTGTAATTAGCTTTTAATAGTCTGAGTGTTTTTTGCTATATCAGCATGCAATTTAGACACTTGAGGTATTTTAAAAGCTCTATTCAGGAGCCCAGTACCACATATTACATTTGGGGCAAATAAAGCTTTTAGAATAATGTTTGGAAAAGCAGCACCCTGTAAATATAAGGTGGTGTTGCACCATATGGAGACTGGCTTTATGACATATGGTTTGAATTAACAAGTTTAAAACTGTTAGGATCAGTTTTTCTTTCACTGAAGGAAGAAAAAAAAAAAAACAAAACCACAAAATACATACAGTTAAATAAGCTTCAGTAGCGGATACAGACACAGCTTGTGCCAACATGTGCTAATTCAGTTAAAATACTACTTAGGCTAAACGAGTTGGGTTTGGTTTTTTGTTGGTTTTGGTTTTTTTCTGTTTTGTTTCTTTTTTAAGCAAACAGTACTGCCAGCTGTAAATGTGCTTTATTACTGTTAGTACAAGGACCATCGTCATCACCACCATCATTATGATTGTGGTCCTCATTAAAATAAATGATTGGCCCTGGTTTTGTATTAAAGCTATTTGAAAAGATAGGGCTGAACAACAGATGAAAACAGAGGATGGAAGCGGGTCTTCTGATCTCACCTAATTGAATCTTTGTTGGCTGAATTGATCTGAAGAAGTTCAAAGATCTGGGATCCATATTATAAAAACATTGTTTCATTTAATCAAAACACTCTTTGAAGTGCCATGCTTGCAGACCACCTGTAGCTTTGAAATCTGAAGTAGTGGGAAAGCTTCCCTGATGGTCCACAGATATGATATATCTGAGAAAAATAAAAAAAAAGAAAAGGGAGAGGTCCTTGTAAATCTATTTTATATCCAGGTTTCTTTTAAGCACTTCTTTATCCCTGTCTGTGCTAGGTCACTTGGAGGAGCAAACAACGAATAAGAATAAGAAGGTGCATATCTTCTTTAGTCTTTTTCACAATTTTAACAGTTGCTGCATTTACAGACAATTCCAAAGATAAATAGCTGAGGTTGTCTTTGGTCACAAATAAGTGTAGCGATACTGTAAGGACTTTCTTTCCTAAGACTCATTCTGCATCTGAGAAAGTTCAACTTTGTTGTGAAACAAAAAAACCCACAGCATATATAAAAATATTGGCAACAGAATAAGGAAAAAAAAAAAAAATCAAAATTAAACATTCAGAGCCAGAACCTCCTGCATCTATGCAGGTTATTGGCACAACAGAGCTGAAACATAGCACTCATGGTTGTTATCTCCTTAGCTTCAAAAATGTAATATTTCAGAACTTCCTGTCCTGTGAGTCAAACTGGATGAACATTCTCCAATACTATTTTCTTAGTAGCTCCTATCTGGAAAACATAGTAGGGACACAACTGGCATGCTCTACTTTTCAGCAGTCATGAGGCATTATGTCATTATGTGACCTTATCACTCTGTACAACACCCTGAGAGGTGGTTGTAGTTAGGTGGGGTTGGTCTCTTTCACCAGGTAACAGCTGACAGAACCAGAGGACACAGTCTCAAGCTGCATCAAGGGAAATACAGGTTGGATATTAGGAAAAAGTTTTTCATGGAAAGAGTGATGAAGTACTGGAATGATCTGCCCAGGGAGGTGGTGGAGTCACCATCCCTGTTTAAAAAAAGACTGGACATGGCACTTATGATTATGGACATGGTGCCATGATCTAGTTGAGGTGTTGGGCATGGGTTGGACTCAATGATCTTGAAGGTCTCTTCCAACCTAGTCATTCTGTGATTCTTCCCTTTGGAATCATAGCCATACACTTTAATTTAGAGAAACTGTGAAGTTACAAAGGACTGGCAGAAACCATCACAGGATCACAGATCACATGATCACATGCTTACAGAGAACCTGGGTCAGTTTTTATTCTCCGTGATTAAAATCTCAGGAAAAAAAGCAAACACACTGAAAGGTATGTGATGAAAGATTAAGTTTTCTTAGCTGTAGATTACACCTAATTTTGCTGGTATTGGAGCTGTGGGAATACAGTCCTGTAAAACTATCTGGAAATTGATAACCCATTTCTATATTTCTTCAGAAAAGTCCCAATAACATCCAGATTCCCCACCCCACCCCTTAAAATCAATTTCTCAATTTCACACATCAACTTCCAAAATCTCAGGATTGAGTTAGGGAAAAAAAAAAGATATTTTCTTGCCTACACATTGCCATTTAAATGAATCCTCTCCTCATCTAGTTTAGAAAATCCTATTCCATAGTATACTGCAGCTGCCAGCTCCTTAGAACAAAAGGGACAAAAGCCCAGTATGTCAGTCTACCTGAGGTACTCACAGCACATGAATTCCTGGGCTGTTCAGAGCAAATAAAAATCTGTGCTCCTCCTTACTGTGTAGATTACGTATTTATTGCAATGTAAATAGTCTCACTGCATAAAACATGAGTCTCTCTCTCTCTTTCTGGAACTTCTTAAAATAGGGTGCCAATGGAAGAACTCTTATTTTAGAGTAATATGATCAAATAATAATTTATTTTCTTAATAAAAGAGAAGAAACCATACTACTCTTTGGGTGCTACTTTAATGAAAATGCATGGCAGAATTCTGTGTGAATGCAAAATGTTGAGAAACATCAGGGAACAATCCATACGTATGTCTCTCTAATGGGAACAGCATGTGGTCAACTGATCGTCTATCACAACACAGTCAGCAATTTTCAAATAAGCCACTGACACCTTATCTTGTTCTACAAACTCCAGCATTATATCACAGAAGAGACTAAGGTGTATTAGGTAGAATATGGGCATGTGCTGCCCTGTAATGACACAAATATTTTATATAGGTAATGTTAAAAACATTATTTATGATTTCACAAGGTCATTGCGATATTTGCCTTGCATGTTCTCTTCTAATTGTCCCAATAGTTAAAATGAAGTGAGTTAAAATAAAACAGTTTCCACATGGAAACACATATTGGATACCTGCAACATGGTGACCCAAGCAAATAAGGATTTGTACTCTGCATCTCCTAACTGCATGTGCAAAAATTGAGGTGGTTTATATGTGTGTGTCTGTGTGTCTGTGTGTCTGTCCAGCATGTCCACAGTGAACATGTGCATTTCAGAGCTGTCAAGAAATGATAAAAAGTTCACATGCAACAGACTAATGAAGTATATAGGAATGAGTCTTTCTGTATGAATGTGTAGATAGGCACATAGATAGAAAATTTTGGCAAATTAAGTCCTCTTCCCTTGCTGATAACACATCTGCCAGTAAGTGTGCAGTCTGACAGACTTTTGCCCTTCTCTACATCAATATCTGATAGTTAGGCAGAAAAGAGGCAACATCATATTAGCATATCTATTTCTCTCTCTTTCCTCTACAGGTGCTAAATAATTAGTAGTGGTAGAATTATTCATTGCAAATAATATTCATTGTGAATTTAGCCAGTTTATTTTTTTTATTTTGCTTACAAATCATTCAAGAGGCAACACTGAGTTCTGCAAATATATTCATTACTCATAAGTATTCAACAAATAGGTGGACAAAGCTCTTTTGACCTAGAAAAGCACTGGTTCATAAATCAATTTCTTTAAAAAATTGCAATGAATGACTTGTCATCATAAGCAGATGGTGTAGTTTCTCTGTTCTTGTTCATAGACTTTATTTTAAAAAAAAAAATTCAGCTAGTGAAAAGTGCTAAGTAGCAAATAATCCACACCTGGTGTAAGTTTTCTGGCTCATAACCATTTATGAGACTTTGGAGATTAGCAAATAGAAATTACAGAGAAGGAAGAAACTTGTGAATATGCTAGTGAGTCTATTTTTTTTTTTTTTTTTTTTTTTGCAGGTATAGTTTAAGTCTAACCAAATGGATTTGGAGAATAGAAATTACGTTGTGACTGTATTTCTAATACAGAGTCCCAGTCTGGAAAACAGCTGTATCACAAGCAGTAAATATAATGATAATCTAATAAAATAGCATAGGCAAAGCTTCACAGTAGGCCTGATTACAGATAACTGAGGAAATGATGGTTACTTAGAAAGGCATGTTCTTCTCATCATTCTGGATTGGAGTTGTATATTGAGCACCAAGGCTGAGAATTGAGAGCTTCTTCAAAAGTGCTGCAAGTTTCCCAGGAGTGTATGTGTATACAGGTATACATGTCACCTATCATTTTAATCTAGACAGAAATCTCAGTAGCTTTAAGCTGAAAGAAACTTTAGCAAAATAAAAGAAATTAAAATGTGCTTATAAGACAATTTTAAAACCGAGATTAGTGTTAGGCCTCTTACAAGTGAGGTATCCTTCAAGTCTTAAATAAAAGGAAATTTTTCTCTAATCCAGAGTTCCTAAGCAGATAGAAATGAAGGGCTGTATACCAAGGAAGACCATTTACAATGTCTTCTAATAAAAAAGGGAAGAATTGGATCTTAAAATATCAGCCAGTCACTCAGCACTATATTCATCCAGCACAGGAGGACAAATTATGACAAAGTCTATTGCATTTCAGCTTTCTGTCCTTATGCATTTTTTGAAGACTTCACACTCTCTCTTACATATGAAAAGAAGAAAATTCTGCTGATTTTTTTATCACTACAGATGAGGAGAAATTCTGCTCAGTTATGGACATCCTGCAGGTTAACCCCTGCCGAGTCTATTTGCTGAGTCTTGAGAAGGTTACTGGAGCAGAAATATCACCTACTCTTCCATACAGAGTGACTACATGGCTTGCAAAAGTTAACATTTCAAGATTACACAATATTGAGTTCAATGTGCAACTTTCCAACTATGTAAATTCCCTGAATTTTATGAAATTAATGTAATCAGGTGGTCTAATGTCAGCCAGGTTCCAAAGATAATTGCTTTTCTGAAAGGAAAAAAAAAATTACAATACTCAGCATTATGTTATTTATAATTTTCAGCTAGACCAGTTTTATTTTGAGTCCCTCTCTATTTTAATTTCTATTATAAACATTGTTAAATTACTTTTTCTTTAAAGTAACCTTAACTTTTGGTGAGTGCTTTGGTCTTTCTGCTTACGAGGAGCAACAGGGGAACAGAAACACTGCAGATTCTTTGGGCCCAGTAACATTATTATTTACCATATTGAGATATATATTATTACCCCAAAAAAACAACATGGAATTAGCTTGACACCTATTTCCAGCTGCAATGGAGATTGATACAAAAATCCCCACGAATGATGGAATGGATTCTAATAAACAAAAGGGTCTGAACATCAAAGTACAAATGTAACACTTTGGCCAGCATCCTTATGGCAAAGTCAGGTTCAACAAGACAAGCCCTCATGATCCACATCATTTCACTGACTAAGACACCACCAAGAACTCAAGTGGTAAGAAGACAAAATTTTCCCTCTGAAATTCCTTTAGACAGAAGAGGAAGTTTCCCTTCCTATACAGGCAAAAATAATAAAATGAGACCAGTGTTTGCTTGTGGCCCTTGTTTGTCTTGGACAGCACAAATCCTGCACTGTCACTTAAGCTAGTAGCCCGTTCTTGCTATGGGGTTGAAAATGACTTCACCCTTGATGAGTGTACAAAAGAGTTTGCGTAATTCCTCATTTTTTTAAAGGAAGCAGGTGAGTAATCAGGCTGCAGTGTTGTACTCTAACTTGACCTCACTTAGGCCAAGATGGTCTTTTCTGCTCCTCCAATCATCTTCTCTTTGGACCAGGAATTTCCTCTCTTTTCCACATGGTGATAATGAAAATGGCTTATTTTCATGATCAGCCAGTCTTATTTTGGACTTAGTTTTACACAGTTTCAGGGAATGAGAATCTAAATGAGGGGAGGCTGTGAAGGTTGGGGCTGCCATTTTGAGCGGGAATTGCACTAGCTAAAACAGCTGCACCCTTGGGTTTTGAGCACTTATAAATGCCAGAATAGACTGAGAGACATATCAAGAATTTATTCGGTCCAGAAATTAGTTTCCAAGGGCTCAGGTTTTATAACTTGTAGTTCACTCCTAATGAAAGGATATAATTGTGTATAGGGTGACTGTTTTGGATAGAAATTAAGGAACCAGACAGGCAGCTGCAGGTTGAGGTTTTCAGACAAGAAGCAGGTTGAGACCAGAAGCCCATGCCAGCAGCAGCAGCATGACATTGGTTAATTAATTTCTCACTTTGGGACACTTCCATAGGCTTCATCCTGACACACAGCATGTTGTCAGGCCTACAGGGCTGAACCTCAAGAGCCTGTGTCTCTGGTTCAAGACATCTTGGTGGTGTTTCTCCTAAAGTAAGGAGCAGCAATGCCATCTCCAGCTGTGCTTAAGCTGTGTAAAGTTTAAGGACTGTCCAGCTTGTAATTGGAGCTCATTTCTATGTATTCAATGTAGTTTTTTTCTTTCCAGTTCTTTGATCTCACCAGGTCCCATCAAATGTTCGACTTCAGATGGCACATTATGCCACTAGTCTCAGAACCCTGGAATAATTTTTCTCTTAAAACCTCCAAAAATTTCTGCCATAAAAATTGTTTTACTTTTGAGTATTTAATTACTGCAAAACTGGAGACAAGACTTATGTTTATTACACTGAGACAGGTTTTTGAATCAATTTCTGTTGAGCTGAGGCCAGAATTTTATTTTTTTTATCTATCCCTTGTGATTGCTTTACACAGTGAAGCTGTATATAGTCTTGATTTTATTTGAATGAGCTCAGCAATATTCTATTTTTCTGACTGCACTGTTGCATTCAGTCCTGTCCTGTATAGGGGGAGTTTCCTGTGTTCCACTCCTGAGCCAGTAGCCTGTTCTCTACACAGAAGCACTTTTAGTTGTTTGAAGTGTGGGAGTGTGACTGTAATTTGCTTTCTGCTTTAATAGATGTTTGTATCATTTAGTCAGTTAATAACTTCATGGCTGAATTATTTCTCAATTGTCCTCTATGCTTTTCTTTAATTTTTATTTGGTTATCCCTTACATACTTTTTACCTACATGTGAAATTACAGGGAAATAGCCATCTGGTTATTCTACAGAATGGCCCAACCCAGGCCAGTAATGTTCTATCATGACCAAAAAAACTTATGAAAATAGATCTGTTATTTATTTTAGACATCTTAAAAGACAGATTATCTTATTTGGGCTAAATTCATTGAGTTCATTAAATTAATATATAAATGTTGAGAGTGACACATCTCTAAAGCTTCCCAAATGTCTAAAATATCCATTCATTTGTATATCTGAGAAAGGATGAAAAGAAGATAATAGGAGTGGGAGCTATTTGATATTTTATTTAGAGAAACACAAATATTATGGGTCTCCTATGACAGGAAATACATATTTTAAAATGTCTAAAAAATATTTACAAAAACAATCTCAGCCTGAATTTCTTTCCTACTCACCTGAATAATTTGAAACAACTCCAGGATCTAGGCTGTTGATACTGGCAACACAAACAGTAGATTTTTAAGTATACATTGTGGTCTGACTTTTATTTTTTATTTCAAGTCCTGTAAAATAAACATGAAGATTATTTTTTAGTAGAAAGCAATGACCAACTATATTTTATTTCGCACAGAACTTCTGGAGACTCCACATATAGACTGCAGCAGTGCACAGTGATACAGTGAATTATTCTGATACCAGAACCTTACACACAGGATATGTGTGCTTTCTTACACAATGAAAATACAGATGTGAAAGCCATGGCAGCAATTCATCATGTATTATTTCTTAGTAGGCCTTATCATATGTACAGGTAAATTTAGTGAATAAAAAAGCGTAAATGCTAGCAAAACCAACTGCCAGTACCTAGATCCTGAAAATGTCACACACTTATTACAATTTTTATTAAAAAAGGTTAAAAAAATTGAATATATCAAAAAGGAAAATTAAATAAAATAGCAAGTACGAGAAAAAAAGAGTTGATTCCTTCAGACAGATAGCTGAAAAAAATCTCTTACAATGAGAAGTCAAGCAGCTCAACCTACTCAATTTGTCAAAAAGGCTGATAAGAAGGAATTGAACACTGTTTATAGAAAGACATTAGCAATACTGGGGCTGGTGAGGGGCTTTTCAGTCTAACTAATAGAGATATTAAAAGATATGTTAGTGAGAAGACGATATTAGCTTCAGTCTTGAAATAAGACTCAGCATCCTACTGGAGAAGGTAAACACTGGAATGGCTTAGTAGATGTAAGTAGAGCAGCCATTGCCCAGCATCTTTCAAATCAAATCTTTCAAAATCCTGGTGTTGGATAATGTTTCCACAAGAAAAGCAGCCAGAGTTTTCTGATGACATGGCTGTGTTTTCACCCTTCTCACATTTGGCACTTGTCAACAGACGTCTGTGATGCTCCTTCTTCATTCCCTTTTTATACAGAAGATTGGGAAGCTTTTCACTGTCATCAGGACATATTTGACTTCACCTTATGACACAAGCTACAAGGAAATCTCCTGCTGATAGGCACAAATAGTTATCCCCAAATGCTTGGAAGGACTTGTCAATTGACCAAATATATTCCTATCTGTATGTTTGCCAGGATAGCTGCACTTGGTGTAAGGAAATTATTTTTCTAAAAATCTGCATTAGCTGCCTTTATTTCTCTCTGCAGTACAGGATACTGAATTCCCAGGAAACTTTCTTCAGATTGTAATGTGGTTTGGGATTTTAAATATATATCTACATGTAAGCTAGTAGTTTCCTCTATGGCTTATGCCAATCCAGACTGCTCAGGAAGGCCAGAATGTAGCTGAGCTGACAAATGCTGGTAGATGTCTCCTTCAGAGAGAACTAAATAGTTCCCTGGTCACCTTCAACTGTATGGGCTAAATCCAATTTCCCATAGAAAACTTTACTTGCTCACATGGAGAGAACAAAATTTATTTGCAAAATGACTGGTTTTTCCCCTCTTTTGGTAGGAATACATAAGCCTAATGCATTTTATCAAATGACATGGCAGGGCTCTGGACACTCATTTTCACCCGTTCTCTTCTGGGTGCACAATTTCAGTGAAACTCAAGCTGTTGGCTTCAGTGAAGGAACAGCTACAATTCTGTGAAACTTAATGGTGTATAATACATAACAAAGAAGGCTAAATGGTCTCTTCCAGCTTTAGGTGTTAATATGGTTGTTCAACCCTGAAATGCAGGGTGGTGATACGCTCTTTTTGTCAGAGGGTATTGTGCCTTGAGAAGAAAGTGGAATTTAACAAAGTATTTATTTTTGCATTTGTTTCTTTAGAGATGCTGGCATTATGGCCCTGTCCAGAATATAACTAGACATGCCCTTTTCCTCTTCTAGAAATGAAAAGCTCCTTTATAGTGTAGCTTTCTCTAGAGGATTTATCAGCTCTGAAGCTTAGATTCAGTTTTTGAATCTTGTGCTTGTTGAAAATGTGCCCCAAGAAATTAATTGTCAGAGACAACCCCAGGGAGAACAAATGTTTCCAAAAGTACTTGATGATACTTATCATCTATATAAATTTTTATGTTTTCTAGCACAGCCCAAACACTCACAATTAACATTAATTATATCACCACTTGTAAAGTGACACCATTTCAGGGTGCAAAAGCTCATACAACCTATTTTACATTAAACTCTGAAGAATGAGATTTGTAAAACAAAATGGAAGTGGTTTTTTTGATTCCCCAGGTAACACAGCCATGATCTCAAAATCAGTACATGAGTCAGCTCTCAACTTGAGTGTTTCTGTAGAGGCTGTTAGCTTGGTTGGCACCACATTTTCTAACTCACAAGAACCATCTGACCAAAAGCTCCTGAACAGAGACATGTGCAGTCATCATGCCAAAATTGCACTCCTGAGTGTTTCCCACTAAATTCTGTGCCCTTTTCACCTGACCTACCTGATGACTAAGTATAAAATTAGTTCAAAAAATACCTATTTCTTCACTGGTGAATAATATGAAAAACAATAAATAATGACTGAATATCTTTAAAAGGAAGAAAAATAGTATAGAATTAAAAAAAGAGAGAGGAAGTAGTGAGATGGGAGAAAGGAATGGAAAAAAAAAGGAAAGGGAGACCATGGTGCTGTATCTTTCGGTGACTAATCAAGCAAAATTTTATTTGATAGGAAACCAGGGTGAGGTCACCTTTAGGTATAAGATATGCAACATAGTGCCAGGCAAGGACACCTGACATGCTCAGCCAATAATTTTAAATAAATGTAAAAATTGACCAAAGCACAATTAACTATATTCTTTTTTTTTTTTTTTTTTTTTTTTTTTTTCCCTCTAAGGTATTTGCTTTACTAAATATCCTCAGCTACAGAGGAGAGGAAGCAAATAAATCAGTAGTGTCAAACAACTTTTTAGTGCTAAAAGTGGAATGAAGTCTGGAGCATGAATAAGAGTTTTGCTGTGACTTCAATCCCAGATTTTCAGATGCTAGTCAGGCCTCTTGATCCCAAGGAACTGAGGAGGGAATTTAAATATTAAAGTTTTATTACACAATTCTTGCAATACTATCTTTGTTCTGGATGAAACAAAGCTTATAAAAAAGATTCAATTGAACATTGTTTAAGAAATTTAATCTGACAGATCTTTTGAGGTTTGCATTTGGTTTGAGGTAAAAGTTTGAATAATAACAGAAAATGATTTCAGGTAGGTCTGTGCCTTCCCTGCTGTTTCTGTCAATGTGCTTCTGTATTATTTTTTTAAATAAGTCTGCTCTTGGTGTCTTGGCTAAGCAAAAGACACATACTATCAAGGAAAAGGGTGACACTATCTATACAGAAAGACCTATCAAATCCACATGTTGAACAACCAAGAAAATTATCTGTGTCATTTGTGGTTGTCATAGGACTACTTGTCACAAAAGCAGGTAGAGCAGTTTCAAAGTGCAGTTTCAGAGTTACACTGTCCCTTTTATTTCTGTAGGGGGTTCATTCAAAAAGACACACTCTGCAGGACCAAGTAGAAAGAGCTTCGATTAGGGCTGTACAGTATGTGACTAAAGGATTTGTTAACCTTAGCGCTTCAAAGCACACTTGAAAATAAGATTCAAATGGGCTCTTTCTTTTGTGGTTCTGTAGTGATAAACGAGTTCTCCATGCACCAATGCTCATGATTACTACTTCTCCAACATTGTGACTCTGGATGAACGTTAGATCAGTCTAAGTAATGTCCAGAACATTTCATCCATACTAAATAATGTATGTCATGGCAGGCCTCTCCATTTTGCTTAGGAAAGAGCTGCAAGTGTAGTCAGAGCTTTTCTGGGTTTATATCATCATATTCAGGTGCCCTACATAACATGCAGATATTTGCCAGTAAAGAAAGGAATGGAAGGAGAAATACAGTGGGTAACTGGGTTTCTTTGTTGGCTTTTTTTCCCCTCTGTGTTTTTCTATGGGTTTTTGCCCTTTTTTTTAATCTAAATTTAGACTTTTTCTTTTTTTAAGGTTGATTCATAAAGTACATTTTATAACCTGTATGCTTGAATTTGTGCAATAAACTTACTTCCTAATGGTCAGTTTATGAATTAGTGGAATAATTCATGACATGCCCTGTGGGTAATACCACACACATGATTCATCCCAATATAGCAAGTAGAACTATTGAGATACTAAAAGATATTCTGGGTGTAACTAATTAACAAACTCTTTACTATTCACAGGAAAGTGAAATTTCCATTTTGCTCCTAGAGCCCACTGACTATATCATACTTAGGGTTCTTCTGCCTCTGAAAACAGTGCATCATTAGCAATGTTAACTGTAGTTATTCCTGTCTCTATCTCAGTATAAGAAAGGCTTCCTAAATTTTGTTCTTCCTCAATAGCAAACAAGTTCCAATAAGGGTACCAGATCATCTCTCTCCTTCAAGGTTTTTGTGAGCCATCACTTTCTTGTCTGTAACTGATATCTGTTAGTCCTGGTAACTTATTGTCTGATTGAGACTTTTGTATCCTGGTGACTTGTTTTCCTCTTCAAGTCCTGATTAAGTCCAATAATACAAAGCGTAAAAATTTAGAGCTCTGCCTTTTTCTACTTGTTAGCGATACTGCTTTATCTGTATCCCTTCGATAGCTTAGTTTAGTCAGTCTGGTTGTCTGGTTGTCTGTCTACCTATCCTATTCTACTCTCTTCTACAGACAAAGCTTTGTTCATGTCTTTTAAGCCAGCCACAGCTCTGCTAGTAATCTTCCCAGGAAAAGAATCTTTAGCTTTGTAGTAAACATATTGGCAGCATCTATGAAACATTTGCATTATTTTATATAAATATTAAATAAATCTTGCATGCATCTGAATAACATGAATTTATTTCACTTTATGTAAATGACATCAGTCTTCCTGCATTTGCAGCAATATTCAGAGGAAGCTGTAAAACAGAAATTTACAAGGAGTTAAGATAACAGCGGCTGAGCAATGAACAAGGCTCTATCTAGACCAAAATAGTTTATTTAGTTTTCCAAAAGCTACAGCCTTTAAGAAAGGGATTGGAATTTCTACTGAAGTAATTCAGGTGAATTAGGTTTGAGCACACTGGTATTTTTACCTAGTCTTGATCAACACACATGAGAAAAAGAGTAAGAAACAGACAGGGAAGAAGATAGATGTGATCAGAACACACTTCTCCCTTTCAGGATGGACGAACTGAGATTTTGGAACTATTTACAAAGGTATTACTAAGGCTCATAGTTCTGGGTCATTTGTGATTTTATCCTTATCATCTTGGAACCCTGAAACAAATATACTGTGTTGGGTTTTGCTTGTGTGTGGGTGTGTTTAAGACACTCCTTCAGCACTGCTGCAAATTCATACTGTCCCAGAGGAAGCCGTGACAGGTACTAAAACTGAGAGTGTTCTACTGTAACCAATGGTGCTGCTGAACAGAAGCCTGGAAATGAAAATAGAAATCCTAGGAAATGGACAGGATCTGCCATTTTACAGTGTAAGTCACATCATTTTGGGAGATAGAACCAGAGCTTTCTGGCAGCCACCCTGTGTGGACCTGATTTTTCTGACTCTGAGAGAGTTCCAGCCTGTCAGTGGCTGATCTGTTCCCAAGGGAAAGTCTCTTGAGATCATCTCTCGCTCAAGGACTATTTTTGTAAATAATTTCATTTTCTCAAATAAGTTCTGTACAGCTGTGGTTAGTGTGTTTTTCTGTTGTCCCACCAATGGGACAGAGAGGTGGTGTTTCCTTTACCAGTCATGTTAAACCCATAGCGTAATACCCTATAAAAAGCTGAAAAGTACAGGTAATAAAGCTTTTCTTGAGCATCTCATTCTGGCTGCTGTAATTGAATCAACACTTTGACTTCATGTCCAACAGCGACAACCCTGTGCATTAAACCACTCAATTCAGCAAACTGGAAAACTGTTGGTATTCCCTGTTTCCCTCAGAACTTCACTTTGATTCTCTGGGATAGTGCTGTATGGGAATATAATATATAAGCTTCCTCACTCTCAGTGCAATAGTTTGCCCTCACACTAAATCAGTTATACCAGCTGAGGGATAGCAAAAACTCTCTAACTCCTCGGCAGGCAGAAAAATCCATGCTTTGATTCAGTTTTGCTTTCAGTGATCTTTGCTCCCACCTGGTGCCTCTAATTGACAGCTTCTTTGAGGAAGATGGAGACAGAAATATTATTCTAGGCTTTAGCTTTAAATTATATTTTTAAGACCTCATGAGGAGTGATTTACTCAGAACTCTGATAAACCCTTTCAGCAGAAATGAGGGAAAGCATTGCAATAGAAACAGCCCCAGTTAGGCCCAGTCAGAAGAGCAATGCAAATAGGAGGATTATGCACAGGGGACTGGCATGCAGCCACTGACAGGGCAGAGCACAGCAGGCTTGCTCCATCCTCCACACTGCACAACCTGTATTTAAAACACAATCAATTTTTGCCCCTCAGAAATGCCTGACAGGACAACTTTGCTGTCAGAGCTGTAAAGCTCTGGGGCCAAGCAGTGGGAGCAGGTCTAGGTCAAGTTAGATGAACCCTACTTATAGACCAGCACCACAGACTGGTGCTACACTGGTCTCTAACCCCTCCAGGATTCTGGATTCAGGATTCTGAAAACTTTGTTTCATAGGAAATTATTATATAATAATATAATAATTATATTTGTATTTGGTTCTTATGTAAGTTGTGACTTGAGTGAGATTTTGTCTGAATAAAGAGGAAAACATATTGACAAAATTTTAAGGGAGGGATCTGTGTGTGCAGGAGAGCAGGTCACCCTGGTCATTTATATGAGCAGAGAGCATGAGGCAGCCGTCCTGGTCACACACATGGTGAATAAAGAGCAGAAAAGTATGGACACATTCTGGGGTGCTCATGGGGAATTGGAGGAATGATGCAAAATTTGCAGAGATAGGCTCTTTTTCTGCCAAAGTTCAAAGGTACCATGAATATCTTTTTTTTATATCCACCCACTGCACCCTCTGTGCATTCAGCAAGAAGATGGAGGTTGAGCCTTAAAACAGGAGCAGCTAATCATATGTCTGTTCTCCAATGTTCCATCCAAGGTTAAAAACATTGCCTTACACCTGTTTTACTTTCCCTTCAATGCAACGCTGTAGAAAAAAAGGATTAAGCATTTGGCTGCTCCTATCAGGAATCTTTGGATAAAAATTACCCAGTAAGTCTCCATTCCAAGCACGAATATATATTCCTTTTAAACAACAAGATCCTGATCTCAAAGCATGATTTCCTAATAGATTTGGTTTGGTTTGCTGTCTTCCACTGGATTCTTTTCAATTTGGTCATTAAAGAACTGAGAACTCCTTTTGCCTATGTAAGCATTAAAAGCCACACATACTTTAAGTAAAATAGGGATGGATGAAGCATATTCCCAAAGTTTTCCCTCTTTGCTCTGCCTTGTTCCCATTGCTATCAGATCTGCAGGACTCTATGCATGGTTTTTATGAAACATTTTGGGATACTTCAAAAGTAAATTCTTAATAAAAATGTAAATTATTATTATTGTAAAAACATGTTGACACACTGTGCCATGTAGCATTCTCAGGAGCAGCATTCTTTCACACTGGGATTTGAAAAACAGCACAGAATTTAGCTTGAATCAAATGACATTATGTATTTAGTCATTTATCAAAGCCACTTGGTAGAAATTGGGGAAAACATTAGTTAATCTTATTCACGTGGGAGTTCCTCGTTATGCAGCAACACTCTTTCCAATTTCCTAGATCCCCTTTCTTCTCAAAGGCCTGGAATGCTTCAGCCTCCTATTGAGCTTAAAGCCAGATCATTTTAATACTACAGTGTATGAACCAGCCAACAGAGAATGCTTAAAGTTAGTGCAGGATATTCCAGGCATTGCAAGGCGCACCCAGGAAAAGTAAATAATGACCACAGCATGAGACATTTGCCTCAATGGGTCTGAATTTAGCTTCCCTCTGAGTCAGAGACTTAGCAAGGCTTTGGCCCATTAATTCGGTTGTTAAGTGATTTTGGTTGAGTTTTTTAAGAGTATTTTTCATCTTTGAAGCAACAAAAACACTTGGTCAAGTTGCTGAAGGAGTTTGGGCCAAATTTTTGGGAATATGTGGTACACAGGAAAGGTGACAATTTGGCAGCGTGCAAAAGAGGAGTTGATAAACTAGCCAATGGCAGTTCAGTAGGCCATCTATTATTAGGATAACCTGAAATATACAACAGCTGCCCAGCTGGATCCCACAGGGGTCCATGGGCCTTCTTTTTGCTTCAACAAGGTGACAAATTACAGCAATGGTTCATCCTTACAAAAAGTCTTTGGTTTATGCCCTTCTAGTGTCACAGATACCTTGCTCCATTTTCCTTCAGCAGAGTCTGGGTGAGACAGAATTTATCTCTCTGTTCAGAGAATCCCTCTTAAAGTAGCTTTCTTTTTTTTCCAGTGGCAACTTTGCATTATTCCATCTTCACCAGTACCAAGGAAATTCCTCACACCTGTAAATAGATTCATAATATTTTTCACTTCACTAGACACATGACACACCATACAGGGATTTATCTAGCAATGACACATCTTATTAGAGAGGTCGACTCTTGAACCAGCTCTTTTCCCATTTGTGATCACATAGCATCTCACTGAAACTGTGGCAATTGTGGTATTAAGCGAGTATTTAGAGTTTTCAGAGTGTTTTTAGTGACACTTGCCATCTGGAACAAGGTCAAGAGACAGCATCATGCAGTTCTTTGTCCCATTACAATAACTGAAGAGTGATTTGTAGACTAGAACTGCTCCATGTGCCACAGTTTTGAGAGTGATCTATTTTAAGAGTTCTGATAAAAAAAAAAAAAAAAAAAACCTCAAAAAACAAAAAAAAATTAAAAAATAAGCAAACCAACAAAACCAGACAATTAACAATCATTATTAAGTTAAACAGAGAACAGAAAATGGCAAAAAATTAAAAAGACATGGCCAGGCTACTAGAAACATTCTAATGGTGTTGGTAGATATGGTAGAAAGAAGGTCACTGCACACTTCTTAACAGGCAACCAGAAGCCAAGCAAGATACTGTTGGCCTCTAAAATTACTCTAACACATCACTAGGAATTGCACTGTATTTGCAATTTTTCTACTGCTTACACCTCTATGACAGAAAGACAATTTTCCCCTTAAAAGCAGTCACATTCCTCAGTAGAAAGAAGACAGTCTGCTACCTGAAGATATAATTAATTTGAGATTATTCGTTCAGATTACTAAGAGATGATAGTTTTAAAGTGAAGATGGCCTGCAAAGAAAGAACATGGCTTGTGTACCTGTTGTTTCATGTGTTCATGTGTGTTTAGGGATAAAATTAAACACAACAGCTAACGAGTGAACATGTTCTGCTTTCTCTGTCTCCGTTCCCCAGAGAACCCACCAAAGACGTAGAAACTTGATGTAAGGAATATTAGAACATCCATACCAGGTCAGAGCCAAGAATCCACAAATCCAATACCATGTCTCCAGAAAACGACACTATTATTTCAGAAGGAGGACAAGTTAGTATTTCAGTTCCTGGGGTTTCAGTGTGGGGTTAAAGCTGGACTCTGGGCTCAGTGTCAGCAGAGGAAGGTGCAGTTCAATGCAGCAAATGCGCAGCAGCTCCTGCAAAGAGCGATGGACAAGTATTTTTGGAAATGCAAGGGGAGGCCAGTGAGTTCACTGAGCAACTGGAGCAGAAGAGCATCACCATGCATATGGATTGTTTAAAGGATGCCTGGAGCATGCTTTCCAAGGCCTAGCAGTGCAGCAGAGCACCAACAGGAGGCCACATCCCAGCATCTTCTGGGAATTCTGCCTCTTTGCCAGCGTGGCTTACACTGGAAATAACAGGAAAGGACTTCCTTGGATGGAAAGACATAACCCATTTGAGCAGCTGGGAATGAAATTTGATTGAGGACATCTACATGGTGTTTCCAGTCTCAGATCTAGTGGGTCAATGCACCTTCACTGAACCCTTACAAAGAAAAGGAGCAGACAGGTGCAGAGGGAGGAGTGCCAGAACAGGGTGACCATCACAAAAGAGGTCCAAATGTTCTTCTAGACTGCAGCACTCAACTGTTTATCCATTTTCTAAAGTAAAAGTGATAGTTTTATATCTGCTAGTTTTAAGTGGATTTTAATTTTTGTCCATAAATTTAGGAACTTAGGTCTATGGAATGGAAGAAGTAGAAAGTTTTCAAAAGCAGAAATTTTAGTCTATTCTTTTAAAAATCTAGAGTTAAATGGGAACTAACAGGAGAAAGAGAAAAAACACAGATAATTTGGAACAGTCAAATACAGTTATATGGCACTTTTTTCCTAAAGATTTCAAAACCCTGTTCAAAGGAAGCAGTTATTATTGTTCCCACTGTACACATAGGCAAAATTAAGCCCAGAAATACAGATACTGACCAGAAGTCATGTAGGTATTGCATAATGGAAGTGGACATTTATTTCAAAACTCAGCAACTGGGATCTCTTAGCTTAATAATAAAGCTGCTAAACAAAAATCCCAATATCTCAAAACTTATGGTGATAGTGGTGAAGCCAGGAATGCTTCCCTGATCTGTCTGGGTCTACTTCAATGGAAAAGTCAAACAGACTCAGTCATTGTTTCATACTTTCCTGGTTTTCATGCAAAGTAAATCCAGATATGCAACATAAGAAGCAGCCACTGTGATCTCTAGCAGATCCCACCCCAGACATGAGACCAAGGCTGAGGAGGTTTTACTGATTTGCAGTATAGGCATTGCTACAGGGAGTAAATCTAGTTTCAAATTCTCAGCAGGAAATACTCATGGCCAGAAAATAGGACAGGACAATATTGAAATGGGTTGCAAAGATTTATTTGTGTTACATTTAAAGGGAATACCTCTTTGAAAAGCAATAAAGTAGTTCAGAATAAAATATTTAGCCTCCTCTATTTGAAATATTCAATTTCCAGTCTTCCAAGAAAAATAATCCAAATTTTTTAAAAAGACATCTTAAAGTAAAACATTTCTTTATTTAAATTTTTGCTCTGTTTTGGTTTTAACTACAAAACTGCTTTTAAAGATCTGCTTGAGATTTTCCCCTATGCTCGGGTTTGATCACTGAATCAAAAAAACCCACCTTATTGTTTGCCTAGTTATGTTAATGAGTCCCAGCCCAATGAGCTAACCTTCAAATCACACAACCTCTTCATTAGTCTCTCAGAATGCTGCAAATACCTTTAATTCTTTTGCCTCTGAAAGTTTCTCTTAGCAGATCTTGAAAGAAAGACTTTTTAATCTCAGATACGAACAAAATTTTAATTATTTTCTCAAGTAGTTGCCCGTGTCATATACATAACAGGGAATATCAGCAGGAAATCAATTTGACAGACACTAATGTTGCATGTTCACCAGTTCACCAAATTACACCAGCCATGTCATCACAACGGGCATGAATGGTTCTGGCCCTGCAGTAAACCAAGGACACCTAATGTGGTCTAATTAGGACAGCAGTACACAGAAGTAATACAGTCTTAAATGAGGGTTAGAGTGTCTTCGAGCAAGTCAGTTAGGAATTTTCCTTTGTCAATGAGCTTTCACACACTTTTCTATGTATTTATGTATATTTCTATGTATTTCTAATATTTCTAAGAGCTGAGACATAAACATATCCTGTTATCTAAAACAATGTCATGGATAAAAATCCTGTTGTTTTTTTGTGGTTTTGCAGGGAGCATTTTTAAGCACTACATTTAAATCTCATGTTTAACTTATGCCAAAAATTTTCTTGAGACTTGGAAATACTGTTTGCTTTTTGTTGTGTAAGATGAAGGAAAATGTAAAAGCTTTTGTTTTGTTACCCCTCACCCTTGAAGTGTTCTTCTGGAGGTAATCTATAAAAAATTCCATCAATGAGGACCACAGCGCACAGTAGTTGGTATTTCTGATAAAGATTACATCTTTAAAAAACAGAAGGTAAAAGATACACCATTACTGCAGGAACTTTAGGAGCAAGGAAGCAGAAATGAGCTTTCAGAATAGAAGGTGTTTCAGTATGGGGTTTTTTTATTCCTGCTGAACAGTAATTGTGCATTTCCCTTTTCATCCTCTCACTCTCTTTATTTTTTTAATACTGATTTATAGACAGGACTTTAGAAAGTTTTCTCAACTTTTGATTACTTTAGTCTAATGTGCAGAAAACTGGCATCCCAGACATTTCTGCAGTACTGAAACTCTTTCAGAATTCCATCCACACACATCCTTGCAATGATAAAACAGAAATTCTATAAAAGTATGAAGAAAGGGACAAAACTAAACCTTTGGTTTCATATGGGGTATTATTTCTTCTTGGTTTTGGTACAGAGCTGTAATTGGCCTAGAGAGATCTGATAAATGTCTTATTATAAACTTGAACATCAACTGTTGGTGAAAAAAAAATATAATGGAACTTGTGACTGAGAGAAAAGTAAAAGGGTATAAATGACTGGCAGTTCCCATTTCTTTACAAGTGTTACATTTCAGTCCCCTGCCACTACCACATGTTTCCTGTTCACAGATAATTTGTACAACATATTTTATCATTCAGTTTTAGACATAGTTGAAAGGCTTTTGCCTAAGGCTTGGAACACTTTGAAAATTGTATACCATTTGCAAGGCTTTCTTCTGCTTCACTGTGCAATTAGGTGACTGCCTTTCTGCAGACACTGGATTTATCATATGTGGAATTGGGTTTTTTTTCACCAAGGTGAACTGGGAACAAAAATGCAAGAAGGTTTTCAGTAACCCACAGACAAGGGATTAGTGTGCTGGCACAAAGATTGTAGGCTGCCTGTCAGTCCCAAACTGGACGCCATTCCCTCACAGAAGGAGTATTGTAAGCCACAAAGTTTCATACAAAAATACTCTCAGTCTCCCTGCTCTTACATACCATGTCTCTACGTGATTCAAACTTCCATGGTGCAACAAGGGCATCTGATCAAAAAAGTCTTTTTCTCTAATTTTCAGATGTGACTATTTACAAAACAATTGATTTTTTATTTCTTTGCCCCCCTCCTCCTCCTCCGTTCTCTCCCCCTCCTTTTCCCCAGCTCTGTCTTGACTAAACTTTGCTCTTGCCTAAGGTATGAAGATACTGATGTGCTAAGAGCTTCCCCTGCTGGAAGTTCCTAGCAAGAGGTGTTGTAGTGAAGTAGAGATGGATCTGGGACTAGCTCCCAGTTCAGCTAATTTATGTGCTCAGTTCCTGTCGAGCAGAGAGTACATAATGTGACTTGAGATGCTGATTAAATTTCATGTGTATTTCTATGTTCTAAATAAATCAAATTTTAAAGTCAGATTTGAGCAACGGTAGTTTAGAGCCCTCATTACAGCAGTTTGCTTTTTTCCAATGAATTCTGCTAGGAAAATGGAGACAAATTCAGCCCTGTTGTATAATGTATTAATGTGCTTTTACAAGGTCATCTTCCAGTAGGAGATCTGGAGAAT